ATCTTCTTGCTTTTTCTCCGGTTCATAACTTTTCCGTTTCAGCTGGCGCATTTTCTCAATTTCATAACGCACTTCGGGAGCATGCTCACATTTTTCTGCCCAAAACTTCTCGTTTCTTTTTTCTGGATCCATATCTTTGTATTCATTTTCCCACTTATTTTGAATGTCTTGTTCCAGGCGAGACTTTTGCTTTCTTCTTTGATGTCTGTAGTTCTCTTGTTCAAAGAGTATGTCTGACCTTATAATCGGAAGATTTTGCAAAGCCTTTATTCGGTCGGATCTATCAATCTCGCAGCCATCAAGAAGGTTTAGTTGGGGTAAAGTACCAATAACAAAATCTCGATAATTTTCGTAATCAGTGCAAGGATTTCCCGTGAGGTATAAATTAGTAAGATTGTAGTTACCCGTCAGACTCTCTACGCTTATAATTTCGCCTATGAAATTGAGGGTGAGATCTAATTTCTCTAAAGATTCACACCTTTCTAAGTTTTCAATGACTTCTATATTGTTCAGCGCTAAGTTTAGGTAGACAAGATTTTTCAATTTGTTAAGGTTTTCAATTTTAGCGATGAGATTGCTTTGCATTAATAATATTTTGAGTTTCGGGCACCAGTCTTGGAGGTATTCTATTTTTTCAATGTTTTCTTGATGCAATGCGATTTCTTCTAACGGTGCAAGCAGGCAATCATGATGTTCAGCCTTTCTGCGTACTATTTCTACACTGATTCGCACCATATTTGATGTTATACAATATTTTGTAAAATTATAATGATCGAATATTACCGCACGTTTATAAACTCAATGATTTAACGCTTCATGACAACCGTTGCTAAGTAACGTCAAAAAGTATAATAGGTAAGTCTATGGATAACGTATAGATAGAACAAAATACAATTTATTACTGTAATAATAAGAATTTAAATTAAATAAATATATACAACTTAAAACATAAATAACTGACAACTAAAATATTTACACCTTAAAAAAAGTAATAATACTAAAAATGTTATGGCATCAAAAAAAACAAGAATTTCCTCATCGCTATCGTGAGGTAAGGTGCCCAAAAGACTGGCAGCATTGCCACGTTGAATAGCAATGCCAATTAACTCTGCCCAAGGTAATAGTAAAAAAAAATACAAATTGTGACTTGATATTTTAATACTTTTAAAAATACCAGTCTTACTAATGAATCCATATTACTTTCACGTTCAACGTATGAATACTTATACAGCATGTAAAGCCTGTGTAGGAGTTACCCAGGGTTTACACAACATAGCTACTAACAAATTCAAAGACAACGTTGTGTAACTACAGACTGGTACAGACGCTGTGTACGGCAAATATGTTGGCAATGTTTTGCGAAGAAAGTTTAAATTTTTCTGCTGGTGACCTCGCTATATGTTTTTTTTTAAATTTGCATAAATATTATTATACTTTTTTTTTTAAGGGGGGAAAATCATCGAATGACTGCTCCCGCCTGGGTGAGGCGGGAGGGAGTGTCAGACTCTTACTGACTAAAAACCACCCCGTTTCTTCTCCTGCACGTCGAGCCGGAGCCCCGGTTACCCGTTAGGTTCTCCGCGACAAATATTACTATACTAGCTTCTGTCAGCGGCTTCGCCCTCGTCCTCAGGGATAACAATTCCCGGCCCCTTCAACCGTTCTGATGTAGCTGAGTAATAAACTTACACACAAAGTCACACTTTTAATATCAGTTCACTACCTGATAATCAATATCACTGACTGACCACTCGTTGGCCAAGTGGTTGCAAGTGCGACTGCCGCCGGGCAAGGAGTCTCGACACTTGCGACCAGTCGGTTAAGGTTCTTTTCAAACAAACAAAAAATCAAATCTTTCCTCTATAAAGTCTTCATACTATTAGTATAGATGTTAGTTACATTTATTTATCTCAATAATATTTATTTATATTATTTATTATATTGGTTTAAATTCATCATTTATTTTCTAAGAGGTACATTATATTTTTATTAGGTACATACATATATTATTTTATTCAACACATTAGTAAGAAACACCTAGAGTTTCCCTATTATGTATGTTATTAAAAACGAACATTTTTAATTAAGTTAATGAATATTCGTTATTAATTTCCGTTTAAATTCAGTGTTTTAATTATTATTAGGGATGTTGAAAACAAATTTACCTACCTCCCATGTGAATATACCTACGGGATTTTAATATTTCAAACAAAAGGATGTACGTCATTTGGGTATTTATACTTATTAAATTATGAATCATTAACAAATTACATACATATTATAATATTTAACATTATGTCGTACTTTTGGAATGATTTTTTTTTGAGGGGGGAAAATCTAATGGCTTCTGCCGCTCTGGGTTTGACGAGAGGGGAGTATTCTGACACTCTTACTGACTAAAAACCGGAGACCCGACAAACAGGCTTTCCGCGGCTTTATTGGGCAACGTTATGGTTCGTTATGGATCAGCTAAATGCAACGTTATAGATGTATCCTTAAAACCTTTGTAACTGTAAGAAAATTGTAAAGGAAGCCCTCCAAGACATGTCCTATAAAGACACAGAAAAGTTATTAATAGTTAAGTAATAATTAATTATAGTAAGCTCCTAATCTCTTATTTAAATATTACATACCCTTATATACATATTAAGCAAAGAATTTAAGTATTACCTACTTTATATCAATATTCCTAATTATAACTTAATATTGTCATAATTTACCTTAACTTATTAGCATTTAAGTACTTATGATTATATAACAATGCATATTATTTTTACCTAACTTCGCCTGAAACACAGGATATCCTAGTTCAGGCACCGTATATTGTGAATTTTAATAAACTTTAGGCAATATTTTGCCTAAAGTTTATTTACAGATATTTCTAGATTATTATTATGTTTGAAAATATATTTATAAAAAATATACAATTTACAATGATGAAGAAGCTAGCACATTTATATAGCACATTACATAGCACCAACCAGCATTGGTTAATCGCTCGTGGCCGTTGCTAATGCACGACAACGTGCGGCCTCATACGGCACAGCAGACGGTCTCCAAGTTGCAGGAACTGGGGTTGGAAGCTCTCCGTCATCCACCCAACTCACTAGACCTGCGCCTACAGACTACTTCTTCTTGGCGGGGAAAAAATTCAATACTCAAGGGGCAGTACCTTTAAAGAATTTGTTGCCCCCCGTCCAGCTGAATTTTGAAAAAGGGCATCAGTAATTTGCCACTGCGTTGGCAAAGATGCAGTGATTGCATGGGTGATTACTGCGATTAATACAAACAGAAAAAAAAATAGTTTTATTTTTTTCATACAACACAGTAATTAATAAGTAAAGACCTATTAGTTATGAGATTATAGCAGGATAATTCTTATCTCGTACATTAATTATAATTAGGTAGGGGAGACTGGGGTCAAGTGAAAAGATTTTGAGAAAAGCGACTGGTTTGGCTGCATTAGGCGTCTTGTCTGTTTGGTGACGGATCATATTATTAGCTAGACTATCTGGGTCTATGGTTATATAGTTATTATCATTTAAAATGTACTCATGTACAAAATATAAGCAATTTAGTAAACCTCTAAAAATGCTGCAATTGACCCAAAATCAGGGTCAATTGAAGCATTTTGGTGATCACTTTACAAAAAAATGTAGAATTTATTAAGAACACATAATAAGATTTTTAAATAATATTCAAAATGCTTTTAATTAGTAAAACTCTTTTATTTTTTCAGTTTTTCTGGTAGATAAATAGATAAAATCGTTTTTTCTTTTTTATAAAACGTTGTCCCACACTAGGATTTTCTCCTGTGTCGTGGGACCGTTTGCAAACATTCATGTTCACATACACATGACACCCAGACCAGCAAGAGTTGCTCCGTGCGGGAATCGAACCCACGACACGTTGCGTGGCAGCCGATTGCCCAGCCACCGCACTAACTGTGTTGTCAACATTGCACTCAGTCATCTCCTGACTTGCTGATTAACTACAGTCATAATAAATACACCAATATAAGTATATACTTAATTATATGTCTATACAATCTAAACATTACTTGTTTAGATTAATAAGATAAAGAAGCTAATGCGATTTATGACGTAGACAAATCCTTAACTTTAGCTTTAAAGGTAGCTATTGACCGTGCTTGTCTTACCGACACTGGGAGTACATTCCACAGGCGAACATCTTGGATATCGTAAAAGATTTATCATACGCTTTAGTAAAATGCTGAGCTGTGTGTCATTGTGGAATTTGAATCGTTCTTTAAGATATTTAGGCGTTGCAGGATTATACAGAAAGCTGTAAAGTAAAGACAAGATATGCATATTCCGGTGAAGGCGGATTGGCTTGCTACCTACTCATGCGTTTGTTGCGATATTCGGTAATGTGGTCATTATTTGTTAGAGTTCCTTTCGACTTCTTTTGCCTGATTATTCCTATTTGTTTTTTAAAAGAAGAATGTTATGTTAATAAACTCAAAAACACGTTTCAGTTGACCTCGGAACTTTTTGTTCCAATTGACCAAATACCCCCCAACAAATATATCGCACATAGCTAAAAAACTAAAACTTGCAGGTTAGGACTGACAACACAAAACACTAATTATATATTCATATTAACGACAGCCTACAAGTGAACTGAAGGCGAAACAGCAATTTACAGCAATATGCAAAATATGAGTGGTAAAATACTTGCTTTTTGTTACGAAAAGATATAAAGTGATTTAAAAACTACCAACGTGCTCGGAGCGGCGATGCATATTGTGAGACAGGTCCAGACCTACAGCAGCTTTATTACCTAAATACACACCTTGCCACGTTCTCTTATCGTTTTCGAGTTATTTTAATTATTTCTACTGATCCACGTTTCTATTGACCCTAGTCTCCTCTACTTGGGCATTAAATGGTAGCGGGAAAGTATTGAATTAATTTTGTTTTTTCCTGAACTTATGATATATATACTTTTTTGCGCCGACAGTAGACACAGTGTAATTTTGTATATTACCGAATATTTAACTACGCGTAATTTTTGAACCTTACAAGCTTCACCTGTTTTAAAACTAATTTTCTAACCTAGCGCTTCGCAATGATTTCTCCAGCTGCAGGTATGTACAATATAATAGGTCTTTAAGTATGAAATTGTCGTTTTGTATGAAAAAATATAAACGATTTTTTCAAAGTATTTTTTATTTATATTAATCGAAGTAATTATCCGTATAATATTATAAATATCATTATGTCAATGCATCTTTGCCAACGCAGTGGCAGTTTGTTGATCCCTTCTTAAAGAAATCAGCTGGACGGGAGGCAAAACAATCTTTAAAGACATTTTGTACTGTCTTTATTTTTCTATGGCACAAGCCGGTAACCGACGGTAAAGACGGATGACCTGATGGTATGCAATCGGCGCCGCTCATAGACACCTGAAACACCAAGGCGTTGCAAGTGCGTTGCCTTTTGGGAATTAGGAATTTGAAGATTGACCGATGCTAGTTGAATACGTCTTCTCGATCATTGTGTTCAGTTCTTCACAGTATATACAGTAATGCTCACCCCGTTTGGTAAGAAGCTGTGATCAATCACAACGGTGCTAGACTAGCAAACAATGACCATGACTTTTCTAGGGGTAAAGTTTCGTTTAGGGCATTGTTTAGGTGCTGAACCAGGATCCACCCATTTGCCAATAGAATCCATTTTTTATTGTAAGTAGGTAAAATCATGCGGTTTAAAATTCTTCATTTGTGTGTCTGTTAAACAGTGCAAGTCACGTCTCGACGCGTACTTCGCACTGGCGATCATTGAGTTCGTAGGGCCCATTTGTCAAGCGTTTTACCTTGTCAATTTGATGCAAATGAACGAATATTGTTCGACTTTTGGCTACCGGGATGTTCATTTTTCAGGTTGAAGAAAGAAATTTCAAATTTCAGAAATTTCCAGAACGGAAGCGAGCAAACTAATAACAGGTGGTGCGTTGGTTTGTAGTAGTAATTTCATAGGTAAAGATCTAATTACAGTCGTCTGTTTGTTTACTCAGATGTCGCCGACGCAGCACGCCAGGGCGTACTTGCGGTGCAGGGAATTGATTTCTGCATCGACACAAATGGAGAGAACCACCATACGAACAAGTTTAACCTGATGACAAGGAGCGTCGACAGGTGCCTGGTGGTGCGACGTGGACAGGCCTTCAAACTGGATATAGTACTGAGCAGGCCATACGATGCCAGTAAAGACGCTGTCTCCTTTATTTTTGAGGTTCCAGGTATGTGTCGCGATATATCCTATGGTACTTACTTTAACGGTGTCTTTATAATCATCGTGCTTTGAGTAGTTACATAAGAGTCGGATTAGTCAGATAAGAAAAAGTGATGAGAGTTTTTTCTCTATCATTTTTGAAGTCTGTTGTTAATCTATCTATCTATCTATATAAATAAAAATGAATTTCTGTTCGTTAGTCTCGCTAAAACTCGATAACGGCTGAACTGATTTGGCTAATTTTGGTCTTGATAGGTTCGTGGAAGTCTAGGGAAGGTTTAAAGGTGAGAAAAACCTTTTAGGCGGTACGAAGTTTGCCGGGTCAGCTAGTGTGAAATAAACAAAGGGACAACATTTATAGACTCTGTACAAAATATTTGTTCCATATGGAAACCGAGTCTGTCAAGCCTGAAGAACAATACAAAAACATACATACATACTTCATGTTTGTCTCCCATGGGGTAGGCAGAGACTATGGAAAGCCAATTGCTACGATTCCTACATACCTCTTTCGATTCATCAACAGTCATCAATCTTTTCATGCATGCTCGTCGGTCAAGGGTACTTTTAAATTGGCCCTTCTTTATATATCGCCAATCTTGTCGGTATATGTCCTTCTAGGACGTCCTTCGCTGATGGCCCCATTCATATCTGTTCAGTGTATTTCTTTCGTAACTCTACTTTCATCTATCCTTTCTACATGTCAAAACCAGCGTAACATTCCCTTTTCAATTCTTGTCACTGCATCTTCTTTCAATCTACACCATCTATATATGTAAATCTATATATATAAAATTCAAAGGTGACTGACTGACTGACATAGTGATCTGTCAACGCACAGCCCAAACCACTGGACGGATTGGCCTGAAAGGAGAAGGGAATAGCTCCATAGATTCCTGGGCCCAGGTGTTTACTAAATGAAATGAATGAATGATATTATATCCTCTTACATATAAGCCTTATATGTAAGAGGATATAATATCAAGGCTTAACTGAGAATTTGGTGAAATTTGGCTTGCTAGAAACCAAGTTATCTGAATTATAGTAAAAGTTAGGTTATAGTATAACATTGTGATTTTTTTGTGGAATTTCTGAAATACTTTTGAATCACTCACTTCGCCACTGACGAATAACTGTTAAAATCGCCTCATTCTCCAAGACTTTTCTCCCAATAGGATTACTGCGACCAATCGCAATCGTACAATTTATACAGCGATCCATGTCGTCGATATCCAATCGATAGGTGTAACAGTTGTCCAAAATAGAGAGTCAGGTAATTCAGAGTAGCAAGATCCGTCGAATAGTCCGTTATAATATGCAAAGCCGAGGTCGTGAGTTTAAACAATATAAAATAAGAAAAATACGTGCGCACTCTTTTTTTTTTTTCTTCTTTGGCAACCGAGTCTCCAAAACGGTGTTGTCGACTATACTGCTAGTGTCGAGTGGTGACGGCAAAATTAATGAACCGTCGAACTTAACTTTGCGGTAGTTTTTAGTTGTTAGTAGCTGGAAAGACAAAACAATTGGGTTAGTAAACATAGACATTATCAACTATTTTATTGTATGTATACAGTGGTGTAAAAAATAGTTGGGGGACATACACAATACAGACAGATATGAATATATATACATCATTTACATCATTGAACACCGTCATATTTTAATGTCATTTTCATTTATAAATTTACATAAACAATTGATTAATTTGTAGGAAAAGTGGGTTAAAAGGAGGTGGAAACTGATTGGGAGAGGGATTTGGATTTTGGTAAGTTTTTTATAGAGGTCAAAAGATTTGGAATTTAAGGGACACGAAAAAAAGATGTGTTCTAAGGTTCCCTCATCAAGGCCGCATTCGCACAGCGAGCTGTCGCGAACGCGGATCTTGCTGAGGAAGACCGGACTACTGCAATGGCCGAGTCTGAGCCTGCACAAGGATGAAACAGTATGACGGGGAAGCTTGGGGTACTTGGAAAACCAAGGTTTCCGTCGGATGCCGGGCTGGACAACCGCATAGTAGGCCCCTTTATGTTTGGATGTTTCTACCCATACTGCAGTCCATGAGTCAAACAGCTTGTGCTTTGTGTCTGCACGTATATCATACCCGTACACAACGTGGTGCTGGCGTTCGACATCGTTCGAGGCCGCAAATTTGGCCAATGAATCCGCACACTCGTTACCACATATGCCAGAGTGGCCAGGGATCCAAGCGATCTCGATATTTATGCCATCTTTGTAACAAGAGAAAAGAAGTGCCTTTATCTCAACAACCAAACTGCTATGGGTTCGGGAATGGAGCTGGTCTTGGTTGAGAGATTGTAGGCTACTCCGGGAGTCGGAAAAAATAACAGAGTTTTTTAGGTTGTGTGCTCTAATAAACTTAACTGATTCTAAAATGCCAATGCATTCTCCCGTGTAGACAGATGCTTCCGGGGGACACTTAGAGAGGAGGGCGATCTTCGAATTTTGGAAGTACGCTGCCACTCCTGTACTTCCGTTTCGAGATAGCTTAGACGCGTCTGTGAAAAAAATATTCCAACCTTTCCAGTATTTGTTCAAGGCGCGTCCGAACTCGCCCGTAGCATCCACGGAGGATTTCGAGATGCCGAGCCCTAGAATCAGCTTTGGCCTGAAGTGGATAACCTCATATACGGAAGAGAAGACCGGGAGTACAGGATATTGCTTGATGGGTGCAGAGAGGTTTTTAAGCTCCCTGTACCTGACAATCACGGGAGGGGCAGGTTTACTATTCCAGTAGGAAGAGGAGCTATAGGAACAGTGGATTTGTTCTAGGATAGGAAGAAGGGGATGTGATGAGAGGGAGAGGACTTTTGAGATGAATCGGTCTGCAAGGTATTGTCTTCGAAGGTTGAGGGGAGGCTCTACACATTCAACCTGAAGAGCATTTATGGGGGATGATTTCATAGCTCCGGTAATTATTCTAAGGCATTTGGCCTGAATGGAATCTAGTTTTTTTAATGCACCCTTATTGCAAGGAACAATAAGGAAGCAACAATAGTCCATTACGCTTCTGACCAATGCATTGTAGATGAGCTTCAATGAGTAGGGGTGAGCACCCCACCATACTCCAGCCAGAGCTCTAAGTACCGATACCGAGCGTTCACACCTTGCAACCACGGTGTTTATATGATCCGCCCCAGACATCTTTGCATCGAGATAAACCCCCAAGAACCTAGCACTGCTTTTGATCGGGATATCCTGACCGTCTATCTCTATACGAAGGTCCGGAGTGCGTCGTTTGCGTGTAAAAATGACAGCTGAGCTTTTTGGGGCGCTTAAAGATAACCCGTGATTAAGAAGCCATTGGTTTAATGAGGCCAAAGAGACATTGATGGAGTGGGCAGCGTCTGTTATAGAGCTATTGGTAACCATCAGTGCGATATCGTCAGCATACTGAAGGACATTACAGTTGAAATTTAAACAGGAGGGGAGGTCATATGTATAAATATTATAAAGGATGGGACTAAGGACTGACCCCTGAGGCAAACCTTTCCAGGAGGACCTCCGTACTGGGTTATCCTCAGGAGTTCTTAATTGGAGGGTACGATCGGAAAGGATGCAGGCTACAATTCGGCAGATCCTACGCGGGATTCTCAGCTCTTGCAGTTTCTGCCTGAGAAGGGGTAAGAGGACAGAATCATAGGCCGCTGAGATGTCCAAGAAGACCGCGACCAACGACTCCTGCCTGCTAAGGGCCAGTCGGATGGCTGACGTGAGGGTACCCACACTGTCAGCCGTACCCAGACCTTTCCTGAAGCCGAACTGAGTCGCCGGAAGCAGCCTCTGGCTTTCTACCAACCATTCAAGGCGGTTTTTGATGAGATGTTCAAATATTTTAATAAGTATGGACGATAGGGCAATAGGTCTATACGACGAATGGTTACCAGGATCCTTGCCAGCTTTTAACAGCGGCATAATAACCTGAACCTTCCAGGTAGGAGGAATATAGCCTGAATTAAAGCAAAAATTGACTAAGTCAAGGTAGTATTGCTTCGCTTTTGTTCCTGCCTTAGTTAAGAAGGAGTAGGGGAACCCATCAATCCCTGGTGCCGAGTCCTTCACATGATTGAGTACCGTTTGGAGCTCTTCAGGTGAGAACTCCAAATCGAGCGGGTCATGCGACTCGGGTCGCTCGATCTCATGGGATCTCAGGCAGCATTCATCTGCGGCGGGAACATAAGTTGGAGCAATATTGTTAAAAAAACTGTTAATCAGAGATTCAGGTAAGGTGGAGACAGTGGGAGGTTTGGTGGAGTTTCTAAAATTTTTGACTCTCTGCCAAACTGTGGATATTGGAGTCGATGGGCTCAAGGAACCACAAAATCTCTGCCACCCTTGTCTCTTCTTTTTCCTGAACAATTTCCTTGACTTAGCCAAAATTCGTTTGAAATTTATGAGGTTTTCCAGGTTCATATTTCGGTTATATGTTTTTTCAGCCTCATTCCTAGCTCTTATCATGGCAGTGCATTCACTATCCCACCATGGTGGAGAAGGTATTTTGCCTTTCGGTGTGTTTTTCACCGGAAAGCAATCTTCGGCTGTGGAGGCTATCAGATCTGAGAATTTCGAGAAACACTCCAAAGAATTCTCGTTGTTAATTGATGGAAGGGAAGAGGTGCGGAGGTCTAATAATTTTGAGTAAAGATCCCAATCTGCAGAATCTAAACGGTATTTTAATAAGGGAGGAAGGGGTTTATCCGGAATGGATTTTGACGGGTGTTTAATTATGATGGGATAGTGATCACTACCATAGGTCAAATCTAAACAACTCCAATTTAGCACGCTAGCCATATCAGGCGAGCAGAAGGTCAAGTCCACACAGCTGTTTCTTTGACCAAATGCAGACCTACGAGTAGGACTGCCATCATTAATGACACACAACTCGAGTTCATCCAGCATCTCAACTAGCTCATTACCCATATTATCACATATCTCTGAACCCCATCTATAGTGGTGGCAGTTGAAGTCACCCATTACAAGTAATGGGCCACTTACCGAGGTTAGTAGATTTCTAATCAAAATAAGCTGGTCAACATGAGGGTGAGCAATGTAAAATACAAATATGTTTATGTCCTCAGCCTTAACAGCGACAACATTTATGTCATCGCCAACGAAGGGTAGAGGAATCTGGGAGAAGGGTACTTTGTTATTAACTAACAAAGCACAACCTCCATAACCATCAGATCTGTCATGTCTGACAACACTGAAACACGGGATTCCGAAATTTATATTCGGTTGAAGCCATGTCTCAGCAATGCCACAAATCAATGGTTTAAATTTATTGATCAAGTGGAGTAAGTCACTCTTCCTGGGAAGAGTACTCCTCACGTTCCACTGAAGCAGTGTTAGAGGCAGGAATTTTGCAAATATAATCAAGAATTGTTGAAAGTTTGTGTGCCACGTGGTCAGGTACGGTATGGGCAGGGTTTGATAGTACTGCCATGAGCATATCAGAAACTATGTTCAAAATGTTTTCGGAGCTACGAGTGTTGGTTCCGGATTCCACAGGGAAAGCGCAACCACTTTTAGATGGGGAGAACGAGTAGTTATGTATAAGGGCCTGATGAGCCTTCTTATCATAACTAGGAGAGAGGGGAACATGTGATTTGGGTTTGGGTTGGATAGTTTTCTTGTAGGAAACTTTTTGTTGGGATGGTTTTTTAGTAGGTGATGGCTCTGTGAGGTTTACTGATCTAGAGACCTCAGCATATGACCTTTTTACAGTAGGGAAAACTTGGCTTGCTTCCGCATAAGAAATTGATTTTTCTGCCATCAGAGCTTTGATGCTCTTCTGGCGACCCAATTCAGGACAAGCTTTGTCATTCGCAAAGTGGTTGCCATTGCAATTGATACAGGTGGCAATCTCAGCTGAAATTTGGCATCCATCACCTGGATGGTCCTGGCCACATCTGAAACAACGTGGCTTGGAGCGGCAAAGAGTGCGGGTATGTCCGAAACGACAACAGTGATAGCACTGTATGGTAGGATATGAATATAGTTCCACCGGGAGTGCTGAATAGAAACAAAACACTTTTTTGGGTAGTGTTTGACCGTCAAAAGTAAGCACTACGGTTTGGGTAGGCTTCCATTCGGTACCGTTTGGGGTTGAGACTCTGCGATTCATCCTCCTAGCTTTTATCACAGCCCCACACCCGGTGGGAACCCTGATGTTGCCAATGATTTCGTCCTCTGTCCATTCCACAGGGACGTCCCTGACAATGCCCATACGGGTAATGTTAAATTGAGGGATCGAAGTCATATAATTTTGAGCTACCATACCGTTTACTAAAAAGCTGTTAGCATCCTGGTGCGTCACAAACTCAACTGAAACTCTATTTCTCCCCAGCCGTTTGACACCACCGATCTTAACATTATTAATGTTTAGTTTCATTAAGAACATACCAAACTTAACTGGGTGAAGCGTGGTGCCAGACGTCTGGGAGTCCTTAAGAGACACATAAACTATGTATGGGGGATTATCCCTGGCCGTGTAACATTGTCTACTATTTACACTTTTTGCCAATTTCGGGGGGTTGTTCTGGGTGATAAGGGGGGAGCCGGCGGGTCGTTTCCGGGATTTTGAAACTTCCGCGTCCATTCGTTCGATATCCGGGGAGGTGGGAGGAAGGGTAATTGTGACGATAGTTTCCGTCTCATATTCCGGGGATTTATCGGGATCGGGAGGATCGGGTGGCTTCACCTCGTCCATTTTGAATTAAAAAGATGTGGGCAGAGGAAATAATACAATAAAATATACTTAAAACACCAATACCTGATTAAAACTTACACACACATACACTTACACAACACAAAAACACAAAATTTAAAAGATTTCAATTCAGATCACTATGAAATAGCTCACTTAAATTGAAAACAAACGTAGGAATGACAAAAGCACGTGCGTAACCTTCACCACTACCAACGAAAGTCCACGTGCGCACTCAGAATGAAAGTAAACAAACAAGTACATCTGTCAGTCATTGTCAATCAAACGCAAGCACAAGGGTTGTCAGAAAAAAAAATACACTATAATCGATTAACTAAATCGATAATGAATTACATATTAGCTTCTACCCGCATCTTCGTACGCGTAATCATGCGAGCAAGCGCTCTTGACAATAACAAACACAACAAAAAAAAGATCAGCCAAATATTCTCAGATTTTAGCGATTTATTAATAATCGATTACTAAGATTAAATAATTAATCGATAATTTAGTCTTATTATCTTAATTTAAGTTTTCTCGCTTCCTGGGTAGAATCCTGGTACCATATTTTGTAATTTTGTTTAGAAAAATGTACCGGCTTTTTCACATATTTCACGTAGTGAACTGCTGGGCCCAGAAGTCCCCCTCTCCTTTATTTGGTTTCACGATAAATGTTGTTAGTAAACTTAAATATTATTATCTTGGTGACATTAATAGACAGCTTCCCTGGCGGTGTAGTGCGCCTCGCATGTTTGTGGAGAATAGGGTTACAGACTTCTATGGGCTCATGAGGCGGCTCAGGGCATCTTTCCCGTCGTCTCGTCTATGTGCATTTGGGAATGAGATAGTTTCGGCAATGTTTCATCACGTGTACTTATTGAGACTGGAACTGACGTAGGTACTTTATGAAAAATGTATAAAGAAAAAAGATTTATTGATTTTTAAGTACATGGTACATTGAGATCTTGCATTAAACATAGAATCACATATACACATTATATACCATTTCTGGTGAAGAAATATAAAATTTTACCTATCTATCTATCTATACTTTATAAAGAAGAAAGATTTGTACCACCTATTTGTGTATGTTTGTAATGAATAGGCTCAAAAAGTACTGGGCCGATTTAAAAAATTCTTTCACCAATAGAATGCTACATTCTTCCAATTTGACATAGGCTACATTTCATTTTGAAAAAAAATAGGGATCCTTGGTAAAACTTGAACAATGTAACCGAAGGTGTAGAAAAATGAGTCTTAAAATGTCTTTCGTCGAATGCGCTGCCGAAACTATTAGCGATAGAACAAAATAATGTGCAACAATATTGAAGAACATCATAATGTCTACAAAAAACTCCGCGGTAGCATATGTCCAACTATTGTAGTTATGTCACTACAACCATCCAAATTTCCAAAAATAAATAATAGTCTACCCCGTGCGAAGTCGGGACTGGCTGCTGCGTACCAAATAAAATAACATTAAGAAATTATATTGTAATGGAAGTAATGTTTTTAATTTTTTACTTAATGAATTAAGTCTTTAATTTTATTTTATTGTGATTTTATTAGTGTTATTTATAAGTTTGTGAATGGTTTCTGTGCCTGAAATAAACGATTTATTAATGTTTACTTTTTGGTTGTTTTAAGTTTTTTTATTTTTCTGTTCATGGCTCTCACAAAGCATAAAAGGATTTGTTAGTTAGCTTAGTTTTGTAAATTGTTAAAATATACTTAAATATAGTAGACATGAGGGTGCGGGTTCGAAACCTACCAACGGCAAGTACCAATGTGACTTTTTCCGAGTTATATGTACTTTCTAAGATTATTTAGACACCACTGACAAACGGTGAAGGAAAAACATCGTGAGGAAACCTGGACTTATAATTTCTAATTATAAATTTGAAATCGCCAACCCGCATTGAGCAAGCGTGGTGATTAACGCTCTAACCTTCTCCGTGTGAGAAGAGGCTTTGCTCAGCAGTGGGCATTTATAGGCTGTTGATGATGATGATGATAGTAGACATTGATTGATACCTACTGTAAGTAAGACGCCACATTCAAGGTTACGACTTAAATGGTTATGGAGGCTATAAATCTCACAAACTAGACGTGATATTACGTAAACGTATTCCATCATAGTCCCAGTGGATGAAATATCTCACACAAAATATTTGCATTTGTACACCGTCAGATGAGACTTCTGCTACTGTACCGTTACTGAAGAAAGGTTCGGAGATCTTCGGAACATGGACTGTGACTTATGAGGGTCAGATTGACTCTCATCTCATGGTAGCTGTGACTCCTGCAGCTGACTGCATTGTCGCCTCCTGGAAGCTCCAGGTAGACACGAGACACAGTGATGGCAATTACAAACATCCGTTATCAATCTACGTCCTCTTCAATCCTTGGTGCTTAACCGACAGTGTCTATATGCCAGGTCAGTGATCAACTAAAATAACTCACAAATGTTAATGGGCACCGAATTTATTCGTCGGATACTTTTATTAAACTATTTATTTAGTCAGTCAAAATGAATGATCCGCCTAGTGTCTCAAAAATAAACTTTTGTGAAATTTTGCAGATGACAGCCATCGTGATGAATTCGTATTAGAAGATAAAGGGGTTTTGGTTAAGCTAAACATAGACCAATTCCAACCCTTACGCTGGAACTATGCTCAGTACGAGAAAGATATATTGGACTGTGCACTTTATCTTGTCACAGAAATTGGGAAGGTAATATTGTATTTAAATTTTCACTTACTTATTTGGATTTCTACGTGGGTGAAACGATAAAGTCATATCTAAATGTAAGGTACCTCAAAGGTGACTGACTGACTGACGTAGTGATCTATCAACGCACACCTCAAATCACTGGACGAATCTGATTAAAATTCGGCATGCAGGTAGATGTTGTGACGTAGGCGGATGCCAAGAAAGGATTTTGATCAACTCGATCGACTGACTGACTTTGACTGCCTCGTTTGCCGAGTGGTCGCAAGTGCGACTACCGGGCAAGGGGTCTCGGGCTCGATTCCCGGGTCGGTCAAAGTATTACTGGGTTTTAAAAGTAGTAGTACGGAGTCTGGAATTTATTTATTTATTTATTTATTTCAACTCTTACAGCTAACATTACAGGTAAATTATATAACCTAATGCGTTAGTGTGGCACTTTATACGAAATTTACTTACATTTACAAAACTAACAATAACAAATTAACAACAACAGCAACTTAACACTAAAACTATATCTACTACTCTAACCTATAACACAGTATATATAAAATAATCTTTGCGAGTTCATTGAACTGACACGCAAATACATCTATTACAGTCTGGATTTGGTTGATCGTACGAATTGCTCGCGTCAGAGGCGTTTTGGCCAGTAGGTTGGTCCTGGCAGCCGGGACGGCCAGCAGCGGTGGGCGCCGGCGCCTCCACACATAGCGGTCCGGAACACTAAAGCTCAAGAGCTGCAGCACTCCGGGGTTGTGTTGCTTGCCGTGGAGTAACTTAATTAGGTAGACGACCAGTGTGAACTGTCGCCGCACGCCCAACTCATTGTATGACACCATACCCAGTACAAAAAGTGTGGGGTACATCAACGGGTATAACGGGTATACCCCATACAGTCTCCAGTACAAGTGGCGCGCGAACTTATTCTGTACGCGCTCCAGCATGTCAGAGTACTTCGCTTCGTGTGGGGCCCATACAACCCCACCATATTCTAAATGACTTCTGACTAGTGCATCGTATAACACCCTAATCGCTGTGATGTTTGTGAACCCTTGCGACTGCCGAAGCACAAAGCCGAGGTTCCTGTAAGCCTTTTTACATATCTTTACGATATGTTCGCGAAACGTAAGATCTGGAGTAAGATGTACTCCTAGATCACGTACTTGTGTAACTCGCTGTAATTGTGCCCGTTATATGGCAATAGGCTCACCCCCTATTACATGGGACTCATACATACCCCTATAACATAAATAGTGAAAAGTGGGTGTTACATTGTACTACGGCATAATGTGCACCTCTGCCTACCCCTTCGGGGCTAAAAGGCGCGATGTTATGATGATTTTGATCAACTCCACTCCCAAAGGGGGTGAACTTTTGTATGAAACTTTGTTAATTTTAAACCGATTGGGCTGATTTGCATGCATAAAACTATTATATCGTAGGCATCCCCTAAGAAAAGGATTTTGATAAATTCCATCCCTAAGGGGATAAAATAGGGGATGAAAGGTTGTATAAATCTTCTTAGATTTTCGACTGATTAAACTGAACTGACAATAAATTTAGAATCTAAATCTTAAATGAGGTACAGACATAGTTTCAGAAAGTCTACTTCATTTAAATGTCTTACATAGAGAGAAAGCCGCGGAGAACCTAACGGGTTACCGGGGCTCCGGCTCGAAGTGAAGGAGAAGGAACGGGGTGGTTATTAGTCAGTAAGTGTCTGACACTTCCTCACCACGTCCCTCCCGCCTCACCCAGGCGGGAGCCTATATACCTTGGATGATATACCTTGGAAAAGGCTGATTGAAAGACTTAAATTCTGCCAGAAGTAATTATTTCTGGCAGAATTTAAGTTATTCCACGCGGACGACGTCACGGGCAAGAGATAGTATAAAATAAAAAGTCTACTTTGAAATTAAACAACCTACTATTGAATTGTTTATTTCAGGTCAAAGGTCGTGCAAGAAGTGACCCGATTAGGACATGTAGAGCACTATCGGCTGCCATTAACACAGAAGATGACAACGGTGTTATTGTTGGCAAATGGCCGAAGAATGGCTTGGGGACCAAACCGGAAACCTACATTGGAGGCAATCCTCCTTGGACGTGGGACAGCTCATTAAACATTCTACAAGACTATTACAAAGAGAAAAACCCGATCAAATTTGGACAGTGTTGGGTGTTCGCTGGTCTACTGACGACAAGTAAGTGTAATTAAAAATCATTGAAGTTTTGGCCTTGTTGTGGTTTTGAAAATATATGTGAGAAGATACGGACAAATAATGCAGATAGTGAAGTCTCGGGTACAGACAATTAATGTCTGAAAACGATATGTGACATATGCCTAACTAGCTTTATGACAATTTGGCAGAGCTAACTAACAGTCAACAAAGTTATACAGTACAGTAATTACACATAAAAATTGTTGCCGCAATAAACAGTAGCCTCAAAACAGCTCAAGAAGTACAATACTACCTGTTTCCCGCAACTTCGTCCGCGTATAATAACGACTTCTGGCAAATTTAGGATTTGTTTTATTAGTCTTCTTTAAGGTTAATTGCAATTATTGATCTCCAAGGTTAGTTGCACAGCATTGCAATGCTGTGCAACAAATCTCATCAGAATCAATTTGGGCTTCTTCTAGTTGTACAACTGTCCGATTATGAAAATTAGTTCATTGCCAAATTCTGTTTATCTTCGTGATTTCAATAAATAAACAATTCCACAGGTATTTTACCCTTATAGCATCCATTCCAGTGAGGTTTCAGTAATTAAAATTTCATTTGAATCCCAATGAAATAGGTAAAGCGGTTGAAAACTATAAGGCATCATTTTCCTAGTCTTCAACATTCAGTGGTTTAAGCAATAGAGAGTCCCGGAATTTTAACGCATAGTTCCTGTTCCGTGAGATTTCCATTTCAGTGCTAGTGTCTCAAACTAGCGTTAAACCGAATTTCAATCAAATAGGTTTGTAGGCTACTCAACTACATTTCATTATTCTACAGGGTGTCCAAGAACCTGGCGTCCAACTGGATTCCCACGATGCCCCAAGTTCTAACAGTACTCAGAAAAATATTTTAAAAAATCCACCCCATGTACTTACAGAATTATACTGATTTCAAAAAAAAAAAGGGGAAATGAGCACCCTGTGACATACTTTTGAATGCTGTGACTGCTAATGCTGATAATTTCGATATTTCTTGGAGGTTTTGTAATCTAGGGTATTGCTGTGTCTAAATAGAATGTAAAAATAAAGTACTTATTGTACCATTTTAAAATAAAATATTATTTTAACTAAAGGTGATATGGAAAACTATTGAATTTCGCAACTTTGACCGACTGTAGTGTAAAAAAAATGTACCAAAATAGTATGGCAAGTGACGTCAAATTTTGACGCGTTTATTCCTCTTTTTAAAAAGGTATAATACTTACACATTAATTTGAAAAAAAAAA